CAATGTTGGGTGAGCGGGAATCACTAGTTTTGTTGAATTGGAAAATAACTGTTAACAAAATGTAGGAAAACAAATTTATATAGTGAGATAGTCGCCTTTGGCTGGACTGGACAGGGGTCCTTTACCTTTGTGTGTGTGTGTGTGTGTGTGTGTGTGTGTGTGTGTTCAAAGCATCAAATCATCCTTTGCTCATATTAATAGGCTGCTTGAGAATGCTGCCATTTTTTATCTCTGCTTTGAAGGGGCCAAGGAAGCAAAACCCATGGGGCAAAACAATCAGTGGTAGGATGACTTTCTGAAAGAGGCAAAAGAGAAGGAAAATCAGCAGATGACTATAACAATTCTGGGTCTATCAAGATCTTGAGATCATTTGTTTGCTCATTTAGCTGTGTTTTTAAATTAAGCCATAAGATTAAGCTGATTGCCATTTTAATGAACTGTGTCAGAAACAAAACCGGCTTGTTTATCTGCTTTTGTAATCAGGGAAACTGATGGGAGTTGCAGTCCAGTGACATCTGGAGGAGGAATTTCAGCTCCACTGAGATGCACAAAAAGGCATCTCACTCAATGGCAGGGGCAGACTTTAGGAATATGGCGCCCTGAGCGAGGACAAAATTTAGTGCCCCAAAGATTCATTTGGCACCCTTCCTCCTCCCACCTTCCATTCAGCGCATGCTCTCAAGTGCATTATGTCATAGTTGTGGTGACTCAATAACCCAGGGTTTAACTTTGAGTAGATACCCGTAGAAGTATAGGTTTTATTATTAATACCTGGATGGGGGAACCGCCTACACCACCCTCATTCTGGCACTGTCAATGAGCTACCCAAGAAACAAGAGTTGAGCTATACTGCGGTTGTGTCTTTTTTTCAGCGTCAAAGACAGTTTGGGATAATTGGCTAGAGCAGAGGTTTTCAGCCTTTTTGAGTCCACAGCTCCCTTGACCAACTACATTCTTTCTGTCGACTACTGTGGGGCTCAGGAGCCCAGTTGTGTCACCTCTTGCCTGCAGAGCCGGCAGCCCCTCTCCCTCCCTTGTGGAGGGTTCCCTCAGCCTCCTCTCTTCTCCCCCCTCCTTGGGAGTCCTCTGGGCAGCTGCCGCCCCAGGTCTCTGAGCTGCCCCCCCTGCCCCAAAGAGAGGTGCCTCCTCACACTGCCCTAGAAGCACCTTTCGCCTGGGGAGCTTGTAGCCAGGGCTGCTGCAACAAACAGCTGTGCAAGCCTTTGGGAGGCAGAGACATGAGAGGGCATCAGAGGAGGGAGGGAAGGAAAGAGGGACAGAGGCCAGTGTTGCCCGTGGCACCCCTGACCACCATTCATGGCACACTGGTTGAAAACCACTGGTCTAGAGCAGGCATCCCCAAACTCGGCCCTGCAGATGTTTTGGGACTACAATTCCCACCATCCCTGACCACTGGTCCTGTTATCTAGGGATGATGGGAGTTGTAGTCCCAAAACATCTGGCGGGTCGAGTTTGGGGGTGCCTGGTCTAGAGCAAAGTGGTGGGTGTACAAAGACAATCATAGGGACATAGGAAGCTGCCTTTTGCCGACTCAAACCATTTACTTGGAGCAATGCCTTTATTTAGGGAAGACTGCATTCTTTTGTCACGCTTTGTGAATTATTGAATAAATTGCTTGGTAAGAACTTTCATCCTTTCTCTGCCTCTTGGCTGCCACTGTGGGAGGGATCTGATCCTCCAAAGCCTGACACTCCCCGGACCCTACAATCATCTTCTGAGGCCCTTCTTCATGTGCCTCCTTCCCAAGAGGTCCAGTGGGTGGGAGAGGTAGTTTCCTTTTTCCTTTTCTTTTTCTCCTCCTGTTTTTAGTAGGTATTTTGTGTTTTTATTTTGTGTTTTTATTTTGTGTTTTTATGCTGTCAACCACCCTGAGATCTTTGGGTGGAGGGCAGTATACAAATATAATAAAAATAAATGTTAAAAGGTGAGTCTCTAACCCTTCTAGGAAGAAAGTTATGAAGCACAATGTGCATTTTCTAAGCAGCTTCTGTTAAATGAACCAGCCTGGCCACTCCTGTCTGTCAGAGGTTTCAGCCAAGTCAGAACTGTGATTGGTGAGTTGTTTGGACACCAAGCAATAGGAGCCCCCAACATCCTAAAGGTAAAGGGACCCCTGACCATTAGGTCCAGTCGTGACCAACTCTCGGGTTGCGGCGCTCATCTCGCTTTATTGGCTGAGGGAGCCGGCGTACAGCTTCCGGGTCATGTGGTCAGCATGACTAAGCCGCTTCTGGCGAACCAGAGCAGTGCACGGAAACGCCGTTTACCTTCCCGCCGGAGCGGTACCTATTTATCTACTTGCACTTTGACGTGCTTTCGATCGGCAGGAGCAGGGACCGAGCAATGGGAGCTCACCCCGTTGCGGGGATTCGAACTGCCGACCTTCGCAACGCAGAGAGAGGGGAGAGTCTAATGATTCTTCTGGTTCTGCACTTCCAGCTACAATTGGCTCTGCTGTTCCTTCCTCCACTCCTTTCTGGAGGGAAGCCCTTGCCTTGGCAGATGTGGTGGGACTAAACCAGAGAGGGACTTGGGGTTGGGGGTGCTGTTAGGGGTACGGGAAGTGCTGTTCACCACCTTTGCTTTGGCTGCCCATGAAAGGGCATGTGAAAAGGCATGAGGGCTCAAAAGTGTCACACCCGCCAGCCTTCCCTTTACTTTGCCACCCATGGAAGAGCTTATGGAAAATGTGGAGGGAAACATTTTCTTGTCGGGGGGGGGGAGTCTTTTTAAAAAGGAGGGCGCAGTCTGCTTCCCTCCTCCTTGCTTTGCCAGGCAGCTGCTCCGGGCACGGAGGAGTGTTTTTTGTTTTTTTGTTTCAAAGTGTGTGCATAGGGTGAGGCAGGGCACATTGATGCAAGGGGCACATTGATACACCAACAATATTTCAATTTTGAGAAACATTATTCGTGTCGTGACATCACTAAAATGTTTGTATACATGTGTGAGTACAACAGCTGAGACCGCGCCGCCCACCAGTTAGCTGTTATCATTTGATGAGAGTAGGTGTGTTTTTAGCGCGGCCAACTAAAAAATTACATGAAATGTAAAAGTGTTCCAATGCTGTTTTACATCGTATATAATAATATAATATGACCGAATTTCAAGTGTCATATCTCAGGAAAAAACCAGGATCTTGTATGTTTGTCTTCCCCATTCTAGAAGGTAAGGCAAGTATTGATTTCAAGGATGTTGTTTTGCAGTTGCCAAAACCAAATTTCTCAAAGAGCACATCTCAAACATCATCTCTTTATACTTTTTCTATTGACTTCAGTGGATATAATGTGCAATAGAAGCTAAACATTAAGTAATTATCTTATTTCTTATAAGTATTTTGTTTAAATTACTATTTTTTAACCATTTAATGTGAGTTCTTATACTTTTAAAAGTTTTTTCAAAGTTTTTTTTTAATGGATAGGTGTTTGATGAAAGATTAATATAAGTTTTGATGTTTTGTTAAGAAAACCTGCCATAAAGTTTATGATATGTGTGAAACACTGTTAGTTTCAATATGTTATTTATATTTTAAGTAATAAATTGTATGGCTAATTATGATCTCTCACAATAAAAATGGTTTTTTTCATTATTTTTTTGTAAATAGTTACCATTCTCATAAAATTTACACTTTGTATCAAAGTGCCCCATCCAATGTATCAAAGTGCCCTGTAGGTAGAGCAGAATGATACAAAACTCATTTTTTTTACTAAATTCATTATATTCTCATTCTTCTAACTATAATGGTTCTTTTGATTGCTATTATAATATTGATTAGTTATGCCATGCATAAAGCAAAAAAAAAGAAGACTCATTTTTGTTACATAAAATATGATATTGAATTTTTCTGCATCAATCTGCTCCGCTTCACCCTATGTAGTGCTGGAGGAAGAAAGGCAGAATCCACCCACTTGCTAGTTTTGCATTGCTGCCTGCCAGCCACATGGAGCAGTAGGCAGGCAGCTACTCTTTTATTTAAAAAGTGTGTGTTGGGATGCGGAGCAGTGCAGGAATTGCCTGTAAATCATCTTGATCTATTCCCTGAATCTTCCAAGTCGCCCCCCCCCCCCTTGTATGGGGAAGGGGGTTCCCAGTGTGGAGGCATCAGAATTGTTATAAACTTTTCCCAGATAATTCACAAGTTGCCTTGGGAGGCAGTAAAAAAGTATCATCAAGATCATTAGCAGCAGCATTGTCACCATATTTCCCCCCAATTTTGGGGGGGAGGGGAGGGCATGCATTTCAGAAGCATAGCACCACCTTTTCCTCCAGCAGAAATTGTTCCCAAGTTGTTTGGGGAGGGGAATCACAGTGCAAACCCAGAAATATTATTGTTGTCGACTCACCCCCCCAATGTTGACATACTCATATTTGTTTAAGTGAAGGAAGAGGGCCTCAAAGAACTATAAATCCACACCTGCACTTCCCTGGGAGTTAGCACAACTTACTTCAATGGGACTTACTTCTGAGTAGACATAAGGAGGATGGGAGCCACAGATGGCTTTGTGATGGGCCATTTAGTCACTACATTAACTTTGCCTATTATTATTATTATTATTATTATTATTCCCCACCCATCTGGCTGGGTTGCCCCAGCTACTCTGGGCTGCTCCCAACACACACAAAAACAGAATAAAATGTCAAACATTAATAATAACCATCTGATCCAATACAAAAAAGTCACAATAACTTTAAAATAAACAACATATCAAATTAAGCAATATTTAATAATCCATTGCCTGGTGTCCAATGGGGTCACGAAGAGACGGACATGACTAAACGACTAAACAACAACAACAATCCATTAGACTCTAAAAAGCTGCTGATAGCTGAGATAGGCATGTCCATCACTTTCATTATGATATGTACCAAATTCTGCAAGTAGTGATATCAAGCAAAGACAACAGATACACACCAAAATGCATATATGACTGATTTATTCAGATTCTCTTACATGAAGGGAATTTGGGTGGGATTTGTAAAGCTCAGAAACAGGGTTTGGAGGGATCATCCAGTTTATAGAACTCATATTCACATGTGTTTGGATTTACCACTGCTTTACATCCCTGAACATCAACAGTACCACCGTACCTAAAAAGAAGAAGAACAATGTGTAAACTAAGGCTTCCCTGAGCTCATGGAGATCTTGTAGAGGAGCGCTCCTTTCTCCTGCTCACTTAGGACATGCCAAGAATGATTGGAACTACCTGGCAGAAAAACAGTTTTGCAAGATGTTTGCTCCATCCAGGGAAAACCAAGCCCTTGGAAAACATTTGCCCTGAGGCCAAATTCACCTGGGGAACCCAAGCTGAATGCACAAAGGACATGTCTTGCACAATATGCCATTGCATATTGCTGTACGATGACCCTCCACCCCCCACTATGTTTGCGGTGGTTGAGGGCAGCACCTATGCACAAAAAAGGGTGAAGCAAAATGTTGGTGCGAAACCAAGAGGCCAGCTAGGAGGGAGACAGAAGGAGACAGGAAGGTGCAGGAAAGAGGAGGGGTCCTGTTCCATTGGGCGCATTGGGGTCCCTCTCCCCAGCACCAGCTCCTAGGTGGTCTCCGGATGAGAGGATCTGGGACTCAGGGAGATCCCAAAGTCCAAGCTTCCACACAGTGAATGCCTGGTCATCGGATGATTGGAAAGGCACTCTGGACATGCTCAATTTTATGCAACATATCTTCAGATGTAAAGATTAATTGGGACACCCGTCTTCAGCTAATTCCCTGAATGTTTATTGAGCAGAAGGTCTTTCAGAGAGAATGGAGCAAAATAATTTGAAAGAGATTAATAGACCCAGTGCTATTCTGGTTATTTGGCCTACCTGGAACAGCACTGCATTCCACTTTCACTACATGTGCATTCCATGCAGTGCGCTGAATTCCACTTGGAGCCGAATGGATGCTTGCTCCCATCATTGAGATCGGTACACTCAGTGGGCAGCACCGGCTGACCTAGGGAGAGAAATCCCATACATTTAACATCAATGCAATCAGAAGTTGCTGCTCAGCACAATGCAAAGACTGCGCAAGAGAAGCACAGTGACTGCAAATTTTCCACTTGTCCAACTCCTGGGCATCTGTCTTGCTTATACTGCGGCCATGCAGTCTCCTGCTTGCGTCTGCAGATGGTGGTTCCAAGCTTAAAACAGGGTGGGAGTGAATGGGGTGCCCTGTGGATGGGGAATCTGTCCGTTTGAATTTCTATCAGTTATTATTATTACTATTTATATACCATCCTCAGGGCAGTTCACAACCTAAAAATACAATATAAAGAACACAAAATACATAATAAAAGTAAGAGCTTAAGCAGGGACTCATCAATGAGAAGATGAGACGGGAGCAGTGACAGGTCATTTTAGACTCTGAGCAGCATCACAACATCCAGAGAAGTGTAGATTTTGAAGGTAGCTGCATTTTGGTCTGTGTTCTGGTTCTGCAAGAGCAGATTTGGTAGGTTTATGCTAAAATATGAATGGGGTGCATTTCCCCCTCATCTCTAGTCAGGAACACATTTTTCAAATATTAAATAATTATTTGGCCATGAATAGGTTACATATTAACATTTTGTTGCTGTTTACTTACCATCTTTAATCTCTGCTTTGTGCTCGCTGAACATGCAGAATCCCTGACACAAGGCAAGTGTCAGAGACAAGGCAGTCAGGCTCCAGAGGATTTTCTGTAAAACAGACACACACATACACAAATCATTCAACATGATGCTATCATATATTTAAAAGTAGAACCTCTCGTTCTGTTCTCCCACAAATCTCCCTTTCCATCATTTAGACATAATCTAGATTAAAGAAAAGCTTGTGTGCCAACTGTCTCCATAGCATTCTACTTACCATCTTGGTTTGTCAATGAGTTGCTGGCAAACTCTTATTGGGGCGTGGAGGAAAGAGCTCTGGTGTCCCTCATGTAAGTCTGTGGAGAATCCCATACCCCCTTTTATACAAATGGGAAGGAGGAGGGGCAAAATGAGAGGGATGGAGGTCCTAATGGGGGAAGGAAATGCTTGCATCAGAAGGAAATATTTGCTTCTGCTGACAAAAATGTTTACAAGAACAGCTAGAAGAGTTCTACGTCTTCTGGAGATATTCATTGATAAGTTCAGACCAGAACCAGAACCGGGAACAGGAAAATCAGGTTAAACGTTATTAGACTAGGATAGTGTTGAGTTCTGCAAGAGATATGGCTCTAGATATTTGTCTTTACAGCTTCACCTCAAGAAGGATACTGTCAAAAATGGCCAGCAAAATGAACAAGGGGGTGGAGCAACTCCCCCAAGGAAAGATTGCAGCATTTGGGGTTTTTTACCCTAGAGAAAAGGCAAGTAAGAGGTGACATGATACAGGCATATGAAATTAGGAGAGGGCTTTCATTCACTACCAGTCACTGTTCTGCCTCTGCAGTCAGTCATCTGCCATAGTTGTGACATTTGCTCTGAGAGAATCTGCAGGAAAAATTTATCTGCAGGAAAAATTCCTCCTTGGCTGTGAGAAATATATATAGGTTGTCTTTTCAGATTGCTTTCACAAAATAAAACATGCTTTTTAAATTTATTATGAAGGTCACAAGGCTAAAGCAGTTAGGGCATAGGTTGCTATTGCTATTTCAAAATAGCCGTGGCTAAACATTCTATAGGGTGTTGTTTCTTTAGAAATCATGAGGTTAGGGACTTTTTAGTAAGAAAAACAAGTTGTTGCATGTTTCTGAAGAAATTGGGTATCTTTAGCAACCTTATGGCCAGGGGGTTCTAGCAAGAAAAGGAGATCTTGCCATGCTTCAATCATAAGGCATCTTTAGCAACCTTACGGTCGGGGGCTTTTTAGCAAGAAGGGAGAGGCACCAAGGGCCACGCAGGGAGGGAAACATGGACCCCCAGGACCAGACTACGGCTGCGCCGAGGCAGAAAACACCACTTCCCTGGAGCCCCAGTTAAGTGAATTCCTCAGCAATATTTTGGGAGATGTATGTGGGTAGCGCTGTGGTGTAAGCCAGTGAGCCTTGGGCTTGCCGATCGGAAGGTCAGTGGTTCGAATCCCCACGACGGGGTGAGCTCCCGTTGCTTGGTCCCTGCTCCTGCCCACCTAGCAGTTCGAAAGCACGTCAATGTGCAAGTAGATAAATAGGTATCGCTCCAGCGGGAAGGTAAACGGCCTTTCCCTGCGCTGCTCTTGTTTCACCAGAAGTGGCTTAGTTATGCTGGCCACATGACCCGGAAAAACTGTTTGTGGACAAATGTCAGCTCCCTCGGCCAGTAAAGCCAGAGTCGTTCGCCACTGGACTTAATCGTCAGGGGTCCTTTAGCTTTACCTTTTGACAAGTAGTATCAATTCCTCTCAGCGAGCTACACTTCCAGAGTAGTTTAACAATCAATGCCTCTTCCCAGGCAAGTCTGGAGAAGGGACTAGGACACCCCTCAGCACCCTTCACATCCTTCCGAAGATGATTTGGGGGACACCATGACTGTGAAAGGGACCTCCGAGTGCTTTCAATGGATGTTGCTCATGTGGCCTTAATCTCAGCTGACCCAAGTGACTTGTGGGCCTGAGGTGCCTTGCCTGCGTTTTCTTGGGAGAATGGGGGTAGTTTTTGGGTCACAGTGGAATATTTTTTGTAGGAGGAAAACAAGAAAAAAAATATTCTGAATCTCAGAAGCCAGAACAGCAAGAGGGATCACTGCTGTTCTGGCTTCTGGGATAGGTGTGCAGCCTGCATTCGCTCCATAAGATGCACACACATTTCCTCTTACTTTTTAGGAGGGAAAAAGTGAGTCTTATAGAGCAAAAAATACGGTACTTGTTTTTTACCCATGGTAATAAATACTCAATAAAAGATAAGAGACACACACAGATAACTGATTTATTTAGATTCCCGTATGTGAAAGGACAGGGATGTGTGTTGAAAACTTAGAAACATGCCTTGGAGGGGCCTTGGATTTTAATGTACTTCTATTCCCATGTTTTTTAACCTAACTCCCCTTTGCATCCATCAGCACCTGCAGAATCACCGTATCTAAGAAGGAGCTGAACATGCAGGCCAAGCTTGATCTAAAGTCGCCAAGGTGTTTTTCTTCCACATCCTTCATCTATCTTGGAAATGCTTTGCTGGAAACGAAGGTTTGGAAATCGTACCTGGGTTTGCCTGAGGCAAATTTGCTTGGGGAATCTCGGGCTGGGTGTGCACCAGGCCCAGCTGTGTAGAAATGTGTTTCATTCCACACAACATTTCAAACACACACACTGCGCGAAATGTGCTTGGCTGCACATTAGAAGAAACCGGTCTTGATTAGGGATTGGGGGGGGTTCACTTAAGTTCATACTGAAAGCCAAATTTATCAAATTTGCACTTTCCAAAATAATATGAGAACCAAAACAGAGGCATCTCTGGAAATTCAGTTATCCAGATTTTGTGATGCAGTTCACCAACTAACCATTGTTTACCAAAATACATGAAGTGGGTAAAAATGTGCTTAAAAATGAATATATTAGTGGAAATAGCATATCTATCGGGAAGCCAATGAAGAACAGTGGTTTGCAGAAGGGCATAACCGAGAGGCTGCAGAGGGCAGAAGCTGGGAAATATTGGGAGAGGAAGAGCAGAAGAAGCAGCAGCACCAGGGGAGAGACAGCTGACAGACTCCGTGTCCTTGGAAAGGATTCCTGGCCAGCCCCCTTCTGTGGCCAGGTGGGCATTGAGGGTAGCAGAACAGAGAGCTCAGAGGCAGGCAGCTCAAATCAGCCGATGCAGGAGTGACATAGAATAGGGGAGACCTGGAGGGGAGGGGACTTTACTTGGAGCAATGCCTTTATTTAGGGAAGACTGCATTCCTTTGTCACGCTTTGTGAATTACTGAATAAATTGCTTGGTAAGAACTTTCATCCTTTCTCTGCCTCTTGGCTGCCACTGTGGGAGGGATCTGATCCCCCAAAGCATGACACTACCCGGACCCTACAATCATCTTCTGAGGCCCTTCTTCATGTGCCTCCTTCATGTGCATGGTCTTCCCGCTGAAGTGGTACCTATTTATCTATTTGCACTTTGACGTGCTTTCGAACTGCTAGGTTGGCAGGAGCAGGGACTGAGCAACGGGAGCTCACCCTGTCGCGGGGATTCGAACCACTGACCGTCCTAGGCTCTGTGGTTTAATCCACAGTGCCACCCGCGCCCCTCCCAACATCCTATCAGGGCCCAATTTCTAATGGTGCAGTTAGAGTAATTGCACCTGAACCTATGCTAGCCTGGGCTGTATGATGAGCTTTCTTTTTAACAAAAGGAAGTCTCTAGCCCTTCTAGAAACAAAATATTTTGACAGATAATGTGCAGGAAACCATCTAAGCTGAGGGCTGATAACCCAACGCAAAGAGAGGGGGGAGTCTAATGCTTCTTCTGGTTCTGCAGCCCAGAGCACCCACTTCCAGCTACAACTGGCTCTGCTGTTCCTTCCTCCACTCCTTTCTGGAGGGAAGCCCTTGCCTTGGCAGATGTGGTGGGAATAAAACAGAGAGGGACTTTGGGGGTGCTGTTAGGGGTACGGGAAGTGCTGTTCACCACCTCTGCTTTGGCTGCCCATGAAAGGGCATTTGAAAAAGCATGGAAGGGCTTATGGAAAATGTGGAGGGAGACATTTTCTTGTGGTGGGGGGAGTCTTTTTGAAAAGGAGGGAGCAGACATGTCAGGGTCTGATTCCCTCCTCCTTGCTTTGCCAGGCAGCTGCTTTGGCCATGGTGGAGTGGGCTTTTGTTTTTTGCTTGAAAGTGTGTGTATATGTAGTGCTGGAGGAAGAAGGGCAGAATCCACCCACTTGCCAGTTTTGCTTTGCTGCCTGCCACCCACATGGAGCTGCAGGCAGGCAGCTCCTTTTTTTTCCTTTAAAAAGTGTGTGTTGGGATGCGGAGCAGTGCAGGAATTGTTTGTTGCTTATGTTGCTCCTTGAGGGACTTTTTGAAAATGCCGGGGTGGGTTGGAGGAAGAAATGGGGGGGTCAACCCATGGCTGCCGAGTTTCTTTTCTTGCCTGCAGACATATGAAGCAGGCAGCTACTTGAGAGGCGCCTCAGTGGAATATGAGAGAGAGGGGAGGAGATGGCAATGACCACTCCCCATATAAAATGGGGGGCGCCCTTTGCGTGGACGCGTGCAGCCCCTGGATCTGGAGCGGCCCCATCAGCATAGGCTTGGCTTTGCCTTCCCTCAGGTGGGATACCTGGAGGTCTCCGCCTACCTCAGTCAGTTGTCCAATCCCACCTGGGGGAAGCGTTGCCAAGGAGACCAGGCCAGGTAGGGGAGGGATTACCTGCCCACACAATAGAGGGAGGATCTTACCTGGGAATCCTCACTTGGCTCCAGAGCTTCTCCCACCCTACGCACCCTCAGTTAATGCCTTATTTTGCAGGTAAACTTTTCCTCACAGGTTTTGCAGGTGAACTTTTCTTCACAGGTATGTGGGCGCTGCTACGTTAAGGTCGCTGTTAAAGGGCCGGAAAGGAATTTCCCTGCATTGGCAGGTTTCGCCTTTCCCGTAGCAAAATGTCACAACTTTGGCGGTATCAGGCCTTGGGTGGAATCCTTTTGTCCATCTTCCTCTTTGCAGCGGCAATACCAGGGTTCCCGTTAAAGGGGTTTCTGAAGGGAGGCTTTGACCGTACGCCGAAAGGTCGTCATTGCTCTCCCCTGCGGCGGCGGCGTAACGGGGGCGGCTATCTCTGCTTGAACATATGTTCTCCAGAGCCGGCCCATCCCCCCCCCCCACTGGTTTACCCGGAAGCTCCCTAGGTCCCCGGCTGGGGACGGGGGAGGGAGAACGCCCAATGCCTGAGCCAAGGTCTACCCACATTTGAAATTTA